GGTCCTTTCGAGGTGGAATCAATCGGTGGAAGCAGATATTTTCTGAATTTTAGCGATGATGCTTCTCGGAAAGTGTGGGTGTATTTCCTGATTACGAAGGTTCAGGTGTTCGAGAGCTTCAAGACATTTCACGTCTTGGTGGAACGTGAAACAGGAAAGAAGCTGAAATTTATCTGATCTGATAATGGAGGCGAGTATACTTCCAAGGCGTTCGATGCATATTGTAGAGAATATGGCATTCGACATGAGAAGTCAGTACCACGCACCCCTCAGCACAACGGCGTTGCTGAAAGAATGAACCGTACTATCATGGAGCGTGTCCGGAGCACGCTGAATATGGCTAAACTTCCGAAGTCATTCTGGGGAGAAGCAGTCAACACCACATGTTATCTTATCAACCGATCACCTTCAGTACCACTGAACTTTGAAGTTCCAGAGAGGCTATGGACAGGTAAGGATCCTACATACTCACATCTTAGAGTATTTGGTTGTTCATCATATGCACATGTATCCAAAGAGCTCAGGCAGAAGCTCGATGCAAGAACTATCCCATGCATTTTCGTTGGCTATGGAAATGAAGAGTTCAGATACAGGTTATGGGATCCTAAGGAGAAAAGGGTGTTCAGAAGTAGGAACGTTGTGTTCCATGAAGATTTGACAATAGAAGACATTGAAAAACCCACAATGTCACGGAAGTCAAATGAGGATGTTAGAGTTATAAATGAAGCACCAGAAGAGGACAAAGTGCATGAAGATAACTCAGAAGCAGAGTAAGACGAGGAGACAGAAGAGAATGCAGAGCAAGGGGAGACACAATCCACCCCGTCAGACACAGATGATATATGGTAGCTCTTCTCAGATGGTTCCTACTGTTAGTAGATCTGAACGAGGGCATATACCATCGACAAGGAACACATCATCCGAATATCTTTTGTTAACTGAAGATGGAGAACCGGAGAGTTTTCAAGAAGCTGTATCTCATAAGGATAAAGAAAAATGGCTAATAGCAATGCAGGATGAGTTAGAATCTCTGTAGAAAAATCAAACCTATGAGATCGTAGAACTTCCTAAAGGGAAGAAAGCTCTGAGGAACAAATGGGTGTTCAAGCTGAAGAAGGATGCAAGCGGACAAGTGGTGAAACACAAACCTTGGTTGGTTGTCAAAGGGTTCCAGCAAAAGAAAGGAATTGACTTTGATGAGATCTTTGCACCAGTTGTCAAGATGACCTCAACCCGAGTTATACTTGGTGTGGCAGCAAGTATGAACTTGGAGCTTGAACAGATGGATGTGAAGACAGCATTTCTTCACGGAGATTTGAAAGAAGAAATCTACATGTAGCAGTCGGAAGGTTTTGAGAACTCAAATGATAACTTTGTGTGTAAGTTATCTAAAAGTTTGTATGGCTTAAAGCAGGCACCAAGGCAGTGGAATAAGAAGTTTGACTCATGCATGAATAGTCAAGGTTACAAGAAGACTACTGCAGATGAGTGTGTATACATCAAGAAACTTCCAGACGGTACCTTCATTGCTCTTCTATTATATGTAGATGACATGTTGATCGTTGGGAAAGATGCAGTGAAGATAAACCAGTTGAAGAAAGAACTCTCTAAGTCTTTTGATATGAAAGACTTAGGACCGGCTCAACGGATTCTTGGGATGCAGATCACTCGAGAAAAGGAAGAATCGCAAGTTATGGCTATCTCAGGAGAAGTACATTGAACGAATACTTGAGAGATTCAACATGAATGATGTCAAACCAGTAAGTGTTCCACTTGCGAATCACTTCAAGTTGAGCAAAAGAACATGCCCTACATCCAAGGAAGAGATTGGGGAGATGTCAGCAGTTCCATATTCTTCAGCAGTTGGGAGTTTGATGTACGCCATGGTATGCACAAGGCCAGACATCGCACAAGCAGTGGGTACAGTGAGTCGTTTTCTCTCTAACCCCGGGAAGGAGCATTGGGATGCAGTCAAATGGATTCTCAGGTACTTGAAAGGAACCACGAAGTTATGTCTTTGTTACGGAGGAGCTGATCTAGTCTTGGAAGGCTACGACACAGATGCTGATATGGCTGGAGATACTGATAGTAGAAAGTCTACTTCAGGATATATCTACACTTTTGCAGGGGGAGCCGTTTCTTGGCAATCAAGATTGCAGAAGTGTGTCGCTTTATCTACAACAGAAGCAGAATACATTGCTGCCGCTGAAGCAGGTAAGAAAATGTTGTGGCTAAAGCGTTTTCTCCAAGAACTTGGGATCCAGCAGAAAGAGTACAAGGTACATTGTGACAGTCAGAGTGCTCTAGACTTGAGCAAGAACTCTATGTACCATTCTCGTACAAAGCATATTGATGTTCGATATCACTGGATACGGGAGACAATTGATCAACAACTATTGAGACTAGTGAAGATCAACACCAAGGAGAATCCATCAGACATGCTGACAAAGGTGGTAACACGAGATAAGTTAGAGCTGTGCAGAGACATAGTCGGAATGCTTGTTTTGAATATGTCCGAAAGGGGAGAATTGAAGAATTCAATTTCCAGGTCATATCCAAGTACAAGCAAATTGAAGAATCCAGTTCCTAGCTTCCATGTAACTTCCTCCATGTGCAAGAATGACAAGGGAAGTTTCTTCACACCAAGGAACCACCTTCCTCACACCTCCATTGAAGCTTCCTTCTAGCTTCAACACACCTTCCTTCCACCTTCCTAGTACCTAGTTTTGGTGCTATAAATAGAGAGCTTGGAGAGTCTTTCTATCATCAAGTAAATTAGTATAGATCATCATAGCACAACCAAGAAGAGTTGTGAATATCCTTGAGAGATATGTGAGGTTGTTTTGAGAATTTTTAGTTAGAGCTTGTATGTGTCTTCTTTCTATGAGAGAAAAACACTTCTGGTTGTGCTAATAGAGTACTAAATTAAACCACCAAACAATTATTTGTAATTTATCCGTTAAATGTATGAGTCACTTGTGGCTTTCTACTTCAGCTTCTTTCTAGTGTTTCACAATTCTAGGGAAGAGTTCAAATAAAAAGTACACTTTCCAGTGCAAAGTGCGAAAATTGCACTTTTACACGTTTCGTTCGTACTTTTTCGTGTTTCTGTAGCACGTTTTCGCCTTTGCGATTTTGGGTAAATTCGGCCAAAATCACAGTGGCAGTGTTGTAAATAAACCAATTTTTTCGCCATCGTGAAAAAGTGAAATGAAAACAATCAAAAGTGCAAGCGAAACGTGTAAAAATGCAATTTTCGCACTTTGCACGGGAAGAGTACTTTTTATTTGAACTCTCCCCTGCAATTCTGTGGTTTAATTAATTTGAAATTCTATCTAATATTATTTGTACTTTGGACTTATATTCACTCTCAATTAGATCAGATCCGGCCAGATCAGACTATATCAGACTTCAATAATTGTAAAATATATAGAGATCAACCATTTTTCAGATTAGATCAAACCACATGAGATCAGAATAGATGAAATTTTTAATCCAAATAAAAACACGGATTCTTCCATAACTTAGGTGAGGACATCGTAGGAGTTTGGACTTGATAAGTGTTGCGAGGTGATGATGTTTGCGTCAAGTCCTTTTCCACTACTGGCACTTATTATTGCGTTGCTGAGTTGGTTAAACCTTTCAATTTAGTGATCTCAGTGCGCGTTTAAGACTGGATTAGCGGTCATTCTACTGTTAGTGTATAAGTGGATAATAATTCGTTTTGAATAATACAAAACCTTAGTGGTGTGTCTTGATCCACTCTTAAGTATGTAGTTGAATCTAATACCTGCGACGGTCGGGTATATGGACACCACAAGTTACACCATAGCTTAGGCATAAAATATTCGTGTTCAATCTAAAAGGTGGCACAATCATCGATCTATGAAAGAACCGACTAATTAATTATACTTCGTATTAGTTTAAGATGTGTGGTACTTGTAAGTTTTGCTTACAAATCACTTGATAGGTGTTATTATTCCATGCTAAAAGGTGAATCTAATATGAAGAGTAACATGTTGTCTAATATAGTGTTTTTATTGTTTTATAGCGTTCTATTGTGAGATAAATACTTTAACACGCTCCATCAACTCAAACCGGACTAAATAATATCGTAGTGTATAAATGGACTAAACAGACATTTAACAAGCTATCCTTAATCATTAATGTTAAACAAGATGTCAAATCGTAATCGGACTTGGCTGTAATATCATATTGAGTCTTAGGATTTCGTCCTTAGAGGTTAATCTAATAGCTGAATAACTCAGAGTACGTCCTGTCTAATGTTTTATTATTTTATAGCATTACGGTGTGGGACGAATATTTCAACATCGTTACAACTAACTTTACTACTACGTATTTATTAAACTAGTTGAATCCTTGTAAAAATCAAGAGATTTTCTTGGATCTTGTCAAGTTTGAGAACCACAAGAAGTAAAAATTTCTTAAATTCTACATTCTAATCATCACTCCGAATGTCAAGGTGCAATTTTCTTTAGGTTGTGTTTGGGAGTTGGGTTTTGGAGGGAGGGGAAGGTTAATGGGGTTTATGATCCTCCTTTTCATGTTTGGGAGTTTAAAAAATTGGAGGGATGCTTTTGGAGGGCTTTTGTAACCCTTCAGAACCCTCCAATAATTACTCAATTTTTAAATTCCCCCAATTTGGAGGGTTTTGAAAGATAATTAACAAGATGGTAATTTAAGCTAAATAAAAAATGAATATTAGCTCAATGATTTAAATTTATCATATCTCAAAGTGATTTTAATTGTAATTCCTTCAAAAACTCTCCCCTTCTAATTTTATTACTACCAATTACAAAGAAGGATTCCATCACCTTCCCCTCCATTTCCCAATTACAAAGAAGGGTCCCAATTTTATAACTCCCAATTACTTCAAAGTCTTCCCCTTCCCTTCCTTCGAGACTCCCAAACATACCCTTAGGTTCTCTCTACTTAAGATTGTCCGGAATTTTAAGAAGTCGAGATAAGCTCGGAGTAGTATTTATTCCATCACCTTTTCTTTTATGGTATTCCATCACCTTATTTATTGTATTTTGTTTTTATAAATCTAAGAACTTTTTTAATTCACGCAAATATAATAATGATATTGGGGTATAAGTTGTACGTAGTGTTGTACTGTGCAACCGGTACGACCTACTCATGGTGCTTCCAAAAATTCATACTTAAGCTCCATCTGTTCCCCGATTAAGCTCGTAATTTCACATTTGAGCTAAGATTTATAAACATTGATTATTAATTATTCAAAATTAAAATTAGTTTATTACACATAATTTCATTGTATTATTCAAATCTTAGTGTATTGTAGATTTTAAAAGTATAGATTTTTAGATATTTAAAAATAAACTAATTTCATTGTATACTTTCATTTAAAACAACATTATATAAAGTCAAATAAAAAGTTTAATCGGGGGAGGAGGTATGCAGTGGAGTATATGAAGTGATATATGTCAAAACAATATAGTGTTGTGCTCGATCATTGTAGGCAAATATATACTTCATACACAAGTAGATGCATGGCGCATCATAAATAAGTTCATTGAATTGAGAATGAATTATTGTAAATTTATACTACGTATCAAAATTATATTATTCCTCTAGTTCCTCAGATGTCAGATCACTCTGTGAATCTACTTTTGCTTGAGTTTGCTCCTTCAACAAAAAAAAAAGGGAAAGTTCCCAAAATGGGACTAAAAAAGTTTGAAAATTCCAAAATAGGACTGTCATGTTTTTATTCCCAAAATAGGACTAATTACTGCTAAAGTTGGAAAATACTGTCATGTTTGAAGTCTAGTACTGCCAAAACATGACAGTAATTAGTCCTATTTTGAGAATAAAAACATGGAAGTCCTATTTTGGAATTTCCAAACTTTTTTAGTCTCATTTTGGGTAATATCTCAAAAAAATACGTACTATATCTTAGCTTCTATATATACCCTTGTTTTTTATTTCTTCTTTTATGCAATATACTATCGTATTTCGTATATTTTAGTGGTTTACTTTTCAAATTCATCCATGTTTTATGCTCCTTTGTTTCTCCAAAAAAGTGTTACAAGTAAACACATTCACACCGTCACACGTATTTAACATTATGACAACACCATCTAATTCAAACCAAACATATGTATAACATTCCGAGAATATTTCTACCTATAAGAGCTTATCTATGGCTGGGTTTGAAAGAAGAATTAATATTTTGATAGCGTAAATGCATTTTTATTATGCCGGTGAACGTAAGTTTTACATGATCTTTTAATTTATAGGAGAATTTCTAGAACAGCATATAAGCCACGAGCAATTTCTCACACGTTTAATTCGACAAATTTTCTTATCTTTCTTTAAATGTCAATTTATACATATTTTGAACCCCATAGCTTCTAATGTCTTTGTAAGGATCGTTTTCTTCCGTCTCCGGCTCAGGTCTTTCAACACACACTCTCACACACCACTTTAGGGGAGGCTTTGCACAACTCTAAGTTTTTATCTCACCACTAAGTCCTTCTCAGTTCTCACACAAAGGGAAAGAGAAGGAGAGCACTGCTCTCAGGAAGGTATCACTCGCAGGCTGCTTCAACAAGGGAAGAAGCAAGGACTTCAAATAGGCTGCCAAGGGAGTTCACGGGTGATGCTAGACAAAAGACAATCACATGCTACCAATACAAAGGAGAGTCACATGTATAGGCCAAGAAAAAGTGATGCAGCGGACAGAACACAAAGGGGCCAGCCAAGTGGGTAAGTCAACCCTCAAACATGTATATTATTGATCAGATAAAATACCAAGGTAAAGGTACCAAAGTGGGAGTAAAACAATAGGGTGCAAGCCTCAACAAATAAAGTGGGAGGCCTTGGTAGGACCAATACCTCCAACATTCTCCACCTTATCAGAGCATGACAAACAAAAACAACTTGTATGTTTGTCATGCTGAACCCCTACTTGATTTTGTGAATTGTGTGCAACCTTGTGTGCTAGGAAAACAGTCTAGAGTTGGTTTTCCTGATCTGCCTAAGTATACTAATGTGCTTGATTGTATTCATGCTGACTTGTGGGGTCCTTATAGTGTTTCCACTCATGGTGGGAAAAATTATTTTCTGACGTTGATTGATGATTTTTCAAAGAAAGTGTGGGTTTTGTTGATTGAGAATAAATCTGAAGTTTTTGATAAGTTTAAAAACTGGAAAACCCTTGTTGAAAAACAAACCGGTAAGAAAATAATTTTTTTAAGGACCACTGTCAGTTTTGATTTCTGTGATAGTCAGCTTGGTGATTTATGTGATACTTGGGGTATTTCTATGCATAAATATGTTCCCTCCACACCCCAACCGGATGGGGTTGCTGAGAGGATGGTTAGAACTTTATTAGAGAGGGTGAGGGCTATGTTAGCTTCATCTGGGCTCTCTAATAAGTTCTGGGGGGAAGCTATTTGTTAGGCAAGCAGCATAGAGTCAGCTTCCCTCCTTCCTCTTACCCTAATCTGTCTAAGTGTTCGTCTGTGCTTGAATATGTTCATGCTGATGTTTGGGGTCCTGCCAGTGTTCCTACCCACGGGGGTAGGAAATATTTCCTTTCTATTATTGATGACTTCTCTAGAAAGGTGTGGGTTTGCCTTTTAGAACACAAGTCTGATGTGTTTGTGAGGTTTAGGGAGTGGAAAACCCTAGTTGAAAACCAAACTGGCAGGAAGGTTAAAACCCTTAGGACCGATAACAGGTTAGAGTTCTGTAATAAGGAGATGGATAAGTTGTGTGTGGATTGTGGGATAAAAAGGCACAAAACTGTGCCTTATACTCCCCAACAGAATGGGATAGCTGAGAGAATGAATAGGTCTCTGTTGGATAAGGTTAGAAGCATGTTAGCTACCTCTGGTTTGTCTAAGAAATTCTGGGGTGAAGCAGTCACTACTGCTTCCTATTTGGTTAATAGGTCCCCGTCTGTCCCTCTTGGTGGTAAGTGTCCTGAAACCATCTTTACCGGTAAGCCTCTTGATCTGTCTAACCTTCGGGTGTTTGGTTGTGCAGCGTATGCACATCAACAGGGTGACAAGTTGGATCCTAGGTCTAAGAAATGTGTCTTCCTAGGTTATCCAGAGGGGGTAAAGGGTTACAGGTTATGGGATAGAAACCAGGTAGGCTTTAAAGTGGTCCTTAGCAGAAATGTGGTGTTTAATGAAACTGGTTTTCCTTGCTTGACCGAGTCTGTTTCTAATCCTGAGTCTAGGTCTGATAGTACTCCTAGTGAGGTGGAGTCTGTCCCTGGTGCTGCTAGTCCTTTATCTGTTGATCCTGTTATTACTGATGATATTGTTATGCATGATTCTGATTCCTCTGAGCATGTTAATCCCACCACCTCGAGTGAGGTGGAGCATTTGCATGATACTGAGCATGATTTGCATGATATGGGTGCTGAATCTGACTTTCATGATAACAATAATTTGCATGAGTTGCATGTGGAGCCTAGTAGTGATAATTTGCATGATTATCAACTTGCTAGAGATAGAAGTAGAAGGGCTATCAGGAGAACTGCTGATAGTATGCCTGATTATGTTTTCATTGTGCATGATACTTCTATGTTTGCATTTTCTGTGTTTGAATCCCTAGAGCTGAATGAACCCAAGACCTACCGTGAAGCCTTAGGTTCCAAAGAGTCTCAGAAATGGATTAGTGCCATGAAAAGTGAGATGGATTCTTTGAGAGTGAACCAGACTTGGACCCTTGTGCCTAGACCCCCCAACTGTTCGGTAGTTGAGTGTAAGTGGTTGTTTAAGGTTAAGGAAGAACCTAGTGATGTTAGGTTTAAGGCTAGGTTGGTTGCGAAGGGGTTTACTCAAAAAGAGGGGGTAGATTATGCAGAAATCTTTGCTCCTGTTGTTAAATTCACCACTATTCGTATGATGCTTGCTTTAGTTGCTCACCATGACTGGGAAATGAAATAGTGGTATCAGAGACTAGGGTTATCGTCGCCGTTGATTTCGCCGGATTCTGCCCTCCGCCGCCGTCCTCCGCCACCGTACGCCGCCGTACTCCGCCGGTTGAAGCTCGTGGAAGCATCGCCGGATCTGGGCCGTGGTTCTAGGTTGCCTCTGGAACCACCCTGCCGCCGTGAACCGCCGACTCGTCGTTGGAGGTCGTGACTTTGCCGGCCGTCCATTTCTCTGTCCACTCGTTGCCAGGGAGGTCATCGCTCGCCGATTGGTTCATCGCTGGAGCCGCCTTCCGCCAGAAATCGACACCCAACAGTCTTTGTAAAAATCATCAATGGATGCAAATGATTGTTCCAATTTAATGTACACCTTCCCTTGGCTAGGTTGATGCAAACAAAATGCACTTCATCTTGCTAGATCGGTGAGGATTGAGATTCATGAATGCTCTTCAATTCTATCAAAGATTGTATCACAAGTGGCTTAGAGAAATCAGAGATGTCAATTGCCTCACTTATATTATTATTAGCAGCGCTATCAATTATGAGTGGTGAGTAACTGGTTGGTTGATTATCATATAACTGTGATATTCATCTAAGGTCCATTCATCTAACCCTCATGGAAAAAAAATATTACCTTAAAATGTTTAAGCTTTAATAGTAATCATTGTTTGTTTGTACACCTAAACGTGAAAAAACAAAACAAAAAATAACGTTGAGTACATTGTTCATGCTCATGTTACATAAAATATAAATAACCTGGTTAAGTGTTTATGTTCCATGATTGTTACTTTCACTAATGATGGTTTATTTGCAGGTAAGCTTTATCATGTCTTTGTAACTGAATGTCAGTGCATGTTATAAGTTTACCTTATTACTTATTTTTGAATTATTGGTTGGCATGTTGAGGATGGGTCAATATATGGGATTACTAAGATTTTCTATAGTTATTATTCTGCAATAAATAGATATTTCAAGTTAGTTGTCAGAGTGCAATAACCCCTTACCTGAAAACAAACAATGTCAAGAACTATTATTATATGGCTATATATTGTACACTCTTTTCTTTATGTCTTTGTATAGTATGACATAGTTCATAATCAAGATTTGCATTAAATACTAGGGTATTTATATATTTTAGCTTGATTAACTTAAATAAAATCTTGTTTGCAGTATTTGGAGTGAAGAAGGCATCCTAGATATGATTCTACTCGTTTTGATGAGATATTCAATAGTTAAATTATGAATCTATTAGAATATAATTAATCAAACAATAAGAAGATAAGTGAGAGTTAGGGTTAAATATAATATCATGATTCTATCTAATAAAAAGGTAGGGTGTTCCCTGGCCCTTACCCCAAAGAATTTTTGGATTCTTTGGACTAAAACCGGGTTTTAAAAAAATAATATGATGATTACGGTTCAAGCTTTCTTGTTCGATAGAATTTGCAGAGTCATTTGAAAATAACAAGAGTTTGTGAAGATGAAATAGTCATCATCATTACCTCAATGTCGCAAAGGCTCTCATACCTTCGGTGGGATAAGAGTGGTTTGATGTACACAGTCTTACTCATGTACTAAAGTATAGAAAGATTGTTTCCAGATGATCCATAGTGAAAATTGCGTCAAAAGTGCATGGATTGGCGATTGCTTCATAACAAAGACGTACAAACAGTTTAGTAAGTCATTTTGCTTTATTCCATAATATTCCCAAGTCAAAAAAATAATTACTCTTTGTGAAGAAGCTTTTTTCTTGTGCATGAAGACGTCTCTGTGTGTAATCAAAAGACGGTTGCAGTGATTTATGGAGTTTTTGTTTTCTATATATCCGACTCGCCATATGTTTTTAATAATTGTATCAATTTTTAATTTACGTGGCGCCACATCATATTTCGTTGCGAGCAAATTATCGATGTTAACGTTTCAAGTTATGAATCGATAGATTATGAACTTTCAAGTCCCTTATTGATTTCAATTATCATTTCGGGTCCAAAATCGATAACAACATCAACTTTTTGGAGTGATAATATTCCTTGAAGAAACTAATTAAAGAACGAATTTGGCCACATATCATTCATATTTCACAGGCAAATTAGAGCAACAGAAGGAACTAATTAAGGGCAAAGTAGCAGATTTACACCGTTGCTTTGGAATCTAGCTAGCAACCTAGTACTACAATACTACGTTGGAAAGAAGAAACCTAATTATAACCGCCGCAGCAAGAACTGGAGACAGAGCTGGAGCGGTAGAGAGACGAAGAAGAATTCAAGAACTCAATGCAGTCCTCAATGGCTTCTGCTCTCTGGGAATCCATTGATCTCTCTGCATACGATCTCGACCTTCCGAGCTGGCTGCTGCTTGCCGAGGAGACCTTCCGAGAGCACCGTCTCTTTCGTTCCGAACTCGAAACGAGACGAACCATATTCGCTCCGATATGCTTCAGAAATCTCACGGCCGAAAACTCCGACGACCAGGATGGAGACTGTCCTTCTTCCATAATAGTACTCTTTTTGTTCTTGTTCTTGTAGAGTTTGTTCTGTATTGGTTTTTCATGGTAGCCTTCTGGACTGAAGCTCACTCTCTTGCTAATTTTTCTTGACATATTTTTGGTGGAAAGATGGAGACTTAGCTAGTACAGAGAATGTTTTTCTCTGGGTAGGATATGAGGAGGAAGAGATGGTGTTAGAGATGATAGATGGTGGAGAGGTGGTATTTATTGGTAATTGATGAAAAAGATGAGAGATATCAGAAGGGGTTTCAATTTTGTTTTTAACCAAAAAGCCAAGTCCACGAAGAGAAGGAAGTGAGAGGTTATCATCAAGTGATATTTGTCCAGTTTGATTAGCATAAAATTTATAAATAAAAGTTGTGCAACGAGATTTATAATAAAAAAAAAAGTGAAATAGCATTGTGAATTTGATAGTAGTTCACTAGTTCCAAAACGAAAGTTATGATTTTGAGGTTTGACCCGTTTTAAAACAAACTTCTCCGTTGTAACTTTTTAATGAATTAGAAATTTGAATTTACATATTCATAACCACTTAAAAAGCTCTATAAAATCTTCAAATTGAAATTCAAATATAATAGAATTTTGTTACGTAGAATTAAGGATTAGAAGCGAATTGTGTTGATTAGTGCACAGTAAAGTGTTAACTATATATTACTACCTATCTACCTCGTCCCAATTTGATGTTCCAAGTTCATATTCATTTGATTAACACAAATCACTCTTAATCTTTTCATTACAACAATTCAACTATCCTAATGTATCACATAAAAGTGTTACAATATCACTGAAAAGTGTTACATTAATTAGAGAAAATGTATGTAATATGTTTTTACCATTACATTTGTCCATGTTGCATTTGACCTATAGTAACACTTTATAGTCCCTAATGTAACATTTATGCGTCTAGAAAGTGTTACACTAGGTCTAAAAAGTGTTACATTAGAGAAATATGTAACACTTTTATAAATATGTTACATCTTTAATGTCACATTAGGCCTAAAATTGTAGTAGTGAATTTACTTTATATATCAAATTTTTATCAAATTTGATTCTGATTTTTGCGATTTTGTAAAGTTTTTAATGTAATTTTTGAATATGTAACATTTTGTCTAAAAATAGTTTGAGTGCGGATATGAATCCGTTAGCTTTATCATCCGTCGATCATCATAAACCGCAGCGAGAACATCAAATTGGGGTGGAGTGCGTATTTTGGAAGGGAGGTACGGAGTAATATTCTTTTTTGAAAAGGAATTGCCAAACTATATAATTAATTTGATCAATGGTTTACAATTATAATTAATCAACCAATAACTGAAAATTCGTCAACTATCATATTATAAGACTTGAAATACGATCATATTATAAGACTTGAATTGCCCCACGAGTATTTTTTAGAAAAGGAATAAAATGACTTCGGGGTAAACGGGAAGAAATAGACGGAGCAAATAATTTAGAAAAAGAGAGTATTAGTTGTCCTACATATGACTTAATTTTATATTATCATCTATTTAAAGACTAATAGAATATTATTAGGAGATTTGTTTCCTATTATGTATTAAACTCCTTTAATATAAATAGACATGCCAGGGCTCCCATTGGGTAACACTTTCCCAAATATTCACATGGTATCAAGAGCTTAGGTTTTTTTATGTTAAGAATGCATTTTTGCATGGTCATCTTACAGAGGAGGTATACATGCGTCAGCCGCGGGTTTTATTCATCCTTTGTTTCCTACTCATTTGTGTCGTTTGCGAAAAGCCATTTATGGTCTTAAGCAAGCCCCGCGAGCTTGGTTTCACAGATTTAGTAGTTTTCTTATATCTCATCATTTCACATGCAGCAAGTCTGATAATTCATTATTCATTTTTCGCCAGAATAATAATGTCATTTATTTATTACTATATGTTGATGACATCATTATTACTGGCAATTCTTCCGCTACTATCACCTCTTTTATTCAGCTTGTTGCTCAGCATTTTGCAATGAAAGATCTGGGTGATCTTCATTATTTTCTAGGAGTCCAGGCTGTCCACTCCGCTAAAGGTTTGTTTCTTTCTCAGCATAAATATGTGTCTGACCTTCTCTTCCGCTTTCATCTCCATACTCTTAAGTCGGTTCGTACTCCGCTTGCTACTCGCACTTCTTTATCTCTCACTGATGGGGAACTTCTTGCTGATGTCACTGAGTATCGTAGTATGGTTGGTGCATTACAATATTTAACTTTGACAAGACCGGATATTACTTATGTTGTGCATTTAGTGTCTCAGTTTATGCATGCTCCCCGTACTACTCACCTTTTTGCAGTCAAGAGAATTTTCAGGTACTTGCAGGGGACTCTTGATCATGGTTTGTGGCTTCAGCCTACATCTCGGGCAACCTGTGTTATTGCTTATTCAGACGCTGATTGGGCAGGTTGTCCCGATACGTCTCGATCCACGACTGACTTTGCTGTGTTCTTGGGCCCGAATCTTGTCTCTTGGAAGTCCAAGAAGCAGCCTACAGTCTCCAAGTCCTCTACAGAAGCCGAGTATAGAGCTATTGCTTACACTGTTCAGGATACTTTACATGTTCGTTCTGTATTGTTTGAACTCGGCTATCCCGTTACTGCACCGGTTCAATTATTTTGTGATAATATCTATGCTTCTTATTTGACTGCTAATCCAGTACAACATGCCCGTAGCAAGCATATTCAGATAGACTATCATTTTGTTTGAGAGCGTGTGGCTCATGGAGATTTAGTTGTGAAATACATTCCCACACAGTTGCAGTTAGCTGACATTTTTACCAAGAGCCTTTCTAGTCAGCAATTTTTTTTTGAAGGCCAACCTGCGCACAGTTTGAGGGGGTGTAATAGAATATTATTAGGAGATTTGTTTCCTATTATCTATTAAACTCCTTTAATATAAATAGACATGCCAGGGCTCCCATTGGGTAACCCTTTCCCAAATATTCACAAAGACTAAAATTGTTCTTGAAACCAGAAATAGGAACTACACTTCAATCCTGAACTTGTTACTCCTTGTTACCTTTTTTTCAATATCGATTATGTATTGTAAAACATTGAAAGATTAGCATATATTCTTTAGAAAAAAGAAGAAATCAACAATTTGTAATGCAAAATAATTTATAATATAAACTAGGCGGTAGATTTATTAAACATATAATTAAAAATTACCTGATACCATACGATCATTAATTGTGTGCAAGGACTATTACCTTAGACATGGTATTGTTACATTCTATTATATATTTTATTTATAAACTTTGTTCTTATCCTCTAAAAAACGGTTTGTAACGGTAGTCTCACCTACCGTTAGTATTAGTCATTTAGTCAGACAGTTAGCAGATTAGTTGAGCTGGTTGTATGTCTAACAAATTGACTCTGGATATAAACATTACTGGAGATAGGCTAACAATTGTATGTCTAACAAATTGAATAAAGCTCAGTTTGACATTTTCATTCAATACTGTATCTTCTCCCTTTACAATTCAGCAATGGAGTTAGGCTCTTGTTGATCAGGGCCGGCCATAAGGGCAGTTAGCGTAGGCCACTGCCTAGGGCCTCCGATATTTGGGGGCCTCATTTTAGCTCATGTTTAAATATATACAGTATTCTAGTTGCCTAATTATATTGCTGTCCTGCTGTCCTGATTTTATTTCTTCACGATCATATGCCCTTTTTTAATTAACAACTTCATAATGCTTTACGTATGTAATGATTGTTTTTACTAATTATTGTTAATCGTTTTGCACTTATAGTTATATTTTTAATCCTATTAATCATATAGTTAGTTGGTGACTAATATTTTATAATTATAACTGTAATAGTTAGTTTTTACTACATATTTGTTAATGATAATTTTTCTATTAATTATATGTATAAATATGCTAAATATATGGATTATTGAGAAAAAAAGTACTTCTTCCGTTCCTAAACAAATGCAACGATCAACTTTTCACATTTTCCGATGTACAACTTTGACCATTAATATATATAATTCTCTATTAGTCAAAAAAAAAATCAGATTTTGAAAATTTACAATGAGACAAATCTAACAATAATTTTTTTATAAAAAATATTAATACATCAATAAATAAAACGTAGTCAAAGTCAAATATGTGAATAGTGTAAAATTCAACATTTTGCACTTATTTAAGAGCGTAGGTAGTACAAGTTAGTTTTGAGTGTTGACTGTAGTGACGATCCTACTAGTTTTGCACTTCAAAACGTAAGGAGAACTGCCTATTTAGAAGTAAACGTTTTAGAGCATTTTATATGCTACGTATGTTACATATAAAATTTTATTGTTTTAAAGTGCACAATGTATGTTATGTTTGTATTTATCTTATTTTCATATGATTGCTTGTTATAGAAATTACCTTTAATATGATATGTGAACCTTAAAATTTTTCCGCCTAGGGCCTCCAAAACGCTAGAGCAGGCCCTGTTGTTGATTGTTAGCTTTCGTAACAGTAGAATATTTCTTCTGTTACACAGTTGTTTATTTCTTACGAAAACGAATATATCGTAGTTCATAATATTTTTATCTTTTAAGAAAATCTAAATCATACTACTATTTTATTGTTTTCAACTGATTTCGTAAAAGAAGGCATGTTCAACTTAGTACACCTTTTCAATTTATTACTCCGTATTGTGTTAAGATTCAACTTCTATGGATTATAAATAAGATCATACATATGTTATAAATAATCCAATGATCGAAAGAGTGAGAAAACCATATCAAGATAATTCTTAATAATATTTACAAATAAGAAATTAAAGGTACAAAGATCCCCCAAGAACAAGAAAAAGTAAGGCTTGGTCAATTGGTCAAATATATAAAGAACCATGCATCCATAAACAAGAAAAAGTGAGGTGCGGTCAAAAAGCAGAAAAGGAGGAGCAGTAGAAGGAATTCCTCCACAAACATGGTAGAAAAAGGGTAGAAATGAAGAAGACTGGCTAGGGTGAGAGCAAAGACACAACAAATGATAATTCTTGTTCTTAATTATTAGCAGCTTTTGCTTTCTTTTCTTTCTAATGTTATGTACTTATGTTGTTGCTTGGCTCTTAACTGCCCTACTCCTTTCCCTTTTTGCTAGCAGCTGCAGTGCTGTCCAACTTTGATCCCTGTCAGGTATCACAATTTCCTTGGATGGCCCCTCATCAGTTCCTCTCTTAAATTGGTCATTTCTCTTTTAATTGTGTAATTTACACTTTATTTATTTATTTATGTATTTATTTATTTATTTATTTATTTATTTATTTATTTATTTATTTATTTATTTATTTATTTATTTATTTATTTATTTATTTATTTATTTATTTATTTATTTATTTATTTATTTATTTATTTATTTATTTATTTATTTATTTATTTATTTATTTATTTATTTATTTATTTATTTTTGACATTCCCTAGAAACATTTTTTACATTCCCTAGAAACAAGATCGAAACCCATACTAGCTAAGGATGTTGGTATGCATTTAACTGGAACAGATATTATAATAGATTATAAAGCACGCTAGAAAGATTATTTATTCATTTATTTATTAATGAGATAAGATGGTGTGGCAATAAATATGAAAGAAAATAGGAGAAGATTTTCTTCTAATGATGTTTTTGCTTGGAATGTTTTCAGTCCTAGATCAGGTCAGAACAGACTAGACCATGTTTAAACGGACCAAACCAGCTCATACTTAAACAGACCATATACCATAGTTCGACAGTTATAAAATACACAAATGCTAGATCGATATTTATCAGACCTGACTAATTTAGACCAGACCAGACTTTAACAGATCAGATCAGTTCAATCAAACCAACTCATACCACACTAGAACAGAAAATTTAAGTCCAATTAAAACATCTTAGTGTTTGGGTGTGGTTTTCATTTACACTAGTCTTTTTCTGCTTTGAATATACTCCCTCCGTATATATTTAGTTGTCCCAGTTTCCTTTTTGGGACGTATCAAATTAATTGTCTCATTTTCTTTTTGGAAAGAAACACACTCAAAAACCAACTACAGTATCCACATTAAGAAAAGTGCACATAGACTGCACATGGACCACAATTGTTTTTGCGATGGCAGCATAACTGTCGTTAAAAACATCATTAACCACACATTTTTTTATTTACCACACACAAAAATGTGGTAAAAGATTAGAGAAGTCAGTTTTTAACCGTGGCCAATGTTTTTACCATAGCTGTTGTGCCGACGCACGTAAAACTGTCGCAAAACTGTCGTAAAAACATAAGGAGGAACATTTACGACAGTTTTGCGTCAGTTTTACGTGCGTCGCCACAACAGCCGTGGTAAAAACATTGGCCACAGTTAAAAACTGTCGTCTCTGACCTTTTACCACAGTTTTGTATGTGGTAAATAAAAAAATGTGTGGTTAATAGTGTTTTTAACGACAGTTATGCGGCCATCGCAAAAAAAAATTGGTCTATGTGCGGTCTATGTGCACTTTTCTTGTAGTGATCGTTACAATATTGCTACAATACCAAAAACATCTTACTTTTCATATATGCTTCCGTAATTATCTTAAACTACGTAAATAAGCAAACAGGTCTATTAATTAGATACGGAGGTAGTAGTTTTTTTCAAAAATATTACCAAAATCAAATTTATTTACATAAATGTGACTAATAGTTACTACAATATAGTGTCGTACATGGTAACTTATGTTTAAAAATTAAACACAAGTTACTATGATTCTATTACTAGTCTCTAGTCACTAGACATATTTTTGTAAACATTCTTTATTTTAGTCATGGGAAAATCGCACTTTTAGTCCATGAAATAGTCACGAAAATGAAATGTCGGACCCGTATTTCTGATATTGTAAATGTCACCCTTCAATTGTCCAAATTGTTGTAAATGTGGTCCTTTAAGGGGTGAAATGTACTCTTGCCCAAATTGTATATTTCACCCCTAAAAGGACCACATTTACAGCATTTAGGACAGTTGAGGGATGATATTTTCAAACTTGGGAATACAGGTCCGGAATTTCATTTTCGTGACTATTTCTGGGACAAAAAGTGCGATTTTCCCTTTAGTCATATATAAATATGTAATTTTTTTTGAATGAATATACGGAGTATGAAACCTTATTTTTTACATTTTATATTAAAAAATAGCACTACGTATAAACGCCGCTAGATGGTATAGAGCCTATTTAGTAACAATGAAATTAGTCGAATTGGTTGGTTCTGATAAAATTTATGAAGTTATATATGGTTGAATTGGCTAGATTGACTGATTTTGCTGATTTATGTATAAATTATATCTAAAATATATTTTATTAATAAACTAAGGAAAAAATTATATGGAAACATAGCTAAAATTGTTATCTATAATATCTTTAGCCAAATCAGCCAGAAAGATAATTACAACCTTACTTGTTTTTAATATTATTATATAATTCAGCGCGAAATCAAAAATGACGTATTAGTTGAAAAAGTTTAGTGATTGGGCTGAACAGTTAAGCCAGGTGTACAAGTGCTTTTCATCTTAGTAGTTGGGCTGAACAGTTATAGCGACCTATAAACTCAACTTTTTATTCATGTTAGTGCGGGCTAGTTCTATATACTACAACTGTTATTATTTTTAATTTGGGCCACGATCCTTACTTGACTAGGCCGAAATCCATTCATGTAAGGGAGTAAACGGGAAACATTCAAAAACAAAGGATGCGGCACCTAAATATTTTATTTTTACACAGTATTTCATAAGTTGGAATAATTACGGTCAATTTTGAAAAATATTGTAACTTATGACTATATATTGTCATTTTAAAGTCACCATATGCCAAAACATGACAGTAGGATGGAAGTAACGCACACGGGCCTATTCACTGAAAAACATAGCACTCAATTCACTTATTTTTTGAAATTACCAACGTTTTACTCCTATTTTGAG